CCAGTTTTTCTGGTCCAGTTTGCTTTCATTCCCAGTCCTTCTCTCTAATTTTTACAGATGAGAAAACTGAGGTCCAAAAAGATTAAGTAACTTGAGATCACACAGCTAGCCAGTGACAAAAAAGTTACTGTCTTTTCTGTTCTGAAATATATGGAAATTGAGTTGGTAACTCCACTGAAAAAATAAACAGTTCTTTCTTAAGGACTAGCTTCAGTTAGGAGAGACTAATTGAATTACTGAGGGGAGTCTCATGTGGCAAACATTTGAAACACTGAGAAGGAATGGTGAAAAGTCTGTTCATAAAAATGTATGTGTTTGTCCATACTGTGATAAATTGATCAGAATGGTTTTCATTTTTTTCCTGGATTTATTCTGTAAGAATAAACGAGTATGTTTCAAAGATTGGAAACTACATTTCTCAGTATGGCTTAGTGTACTCATACCAGCTTGTCATTTAGACACATTTAGAAATGATTAATTTCCTTCATGTGGATAGAGGTACATAAAAGACTAGGGAAGGGAATTCTAGAACCACCTTTAGTAGCCTGAGGCTGTGTTTAATGAGTCTTACCTATCCTTGCTATCAGAAAATTCACCCTGGTGTTCATTTAAATCTCTACTGCTTCTAAGGAAGCTCTGAGTGTTGGTTTTTTGAGTGAGCCCCGTATTCTTCTGGAAAGGCCATGTTCATAGTGATCCAAAGCTTGGGCTTTAGTCACACTGCTCGCTGTGGTACCCTAGCTGAACTGCACTCTGTAGCCCCGGCCATGACCCTAAGATGCTCCTATATCTCTTGTTTCCTCATTTCTGAAGGAAGGGTGAAACTAGTACCCATCTTACAGAATTGCTGTGAGGATGGAGTGAGATAATATGTAGCTGTGTATAAGACAGTGCCTGGCCCTTAGTGAATGTTTACTGAATGTCAGCTATTAATTACAACAACTGTAGTTTTCTTACCATCTTTACTTAATGGCATTTAGCCTTGTATTTCATTGTTAATGATACCTTTACTTTAATCTTTTCATATTAAATGTATTTTCTAACCCAGATTCAGCAGTATGTATACTTGCTTTTTGGTGAGGGAATACTTTTTGTTAAAAAATATTTTTTAAAAATTAATTTGAATTAGTAAAAATACCTGCCTTTAGTTATGAATATGATTAATTACTGATTTGTAGAAGTATCACTTCTATCTCTGTTTGAAATGAACTTCAGTTTAGCAAAAGCTGTCTTTATTGTTTCCTCTGAATATTTTTTCACTACTGGTTAATATATAAATGAGAGTTTACTAATTTTGTGTGCTACAGTCTAATTTGATCCCTATAAACATCAACCTTCTTTTTCTCTTTAGTTTTTAAAAACTCTTTGGAGTTATTTAATATGCTTAAAAACAAAACTTTTTTCTTTTGAGTTATGTTCGTTTAACAAATGTTTATTATAGTACTGACTGTATATGCTATGCTGCACAACGATAAATAAGGCCAGCCTGGAAGAATTAGCTGGTAAAACATTATCTACTCCCGAGAAAGTGTTTTAAAAGAGATCTGAACAAAGTCCCTTTGAATGCAGGAAAGAGTCCAGTGCAAGACGGAAGACAAAGCAGGCTGACTGGGGGAAGCTTAATCTGGACATTGACCCCAGTTTTCTCTAGTTTTATATTTTTCAACTCTTAATAAAATGAGAATAAACTGTGATTTATTTGAAAAGTAATTGGAACAGTTTTGTCTCCTTAGTAAACTGTGGTTTACTTTTTCACATATTCTTCTCCAAATGGTTTAGCCACATAGTTTCCAGGGAAGTCATTCATTGTAGGCAAATCCCAAGTTAGAAATAAAATGAGTTATTTTCTTCCTCTTTTTCTTCTATGAAAGGGATATTTAACAGAGAAAAGGTTTTTTTTTCTTCAAGTCTTTAAAGCTAAGAAGAGGATCAGAAATGTTAATTGGTTCTCTGCTTTGATGTAAATGTGACTTTTAAAAAACTAGTAATAAAACCCTTGTAAATTTTTCTTTGTGATAATTGCTTACTGTAATTGAATCAAAAAAGTATTTAAGCTGTAAAATGTTTTTAAACAAGACAGTGTTAAGTCACTTTATAGATAGCTCTGAGTGTTGGTTTTTTGAGTGAGCCCCGTATTCTTCTGGAAAGGCCATGTTCATAGTGATCCAAAGCTTGGGCTTTAGTCACACTGCTCGCTGTGGTACCCTAGCTGAACTGCACTCTGTAGCCCCGGCCATGACCCTAAGATGCTCCTATATCTCTTGTTTCCTCATTTCTGAAGGAAGGGTGAAACTAGTACCCATCTTACAGAATTGCTGTGAGGATGGAGTGAGATAATATGTAGCTGTGTATAAGACAGTGCCTGGCCCTTAGTGAATGTTTACTGAATGTCAGCTATTAATTACAACAACTGTAGTTTTCTTACCATCTTTACTTAATGGCATTTAGCCTTGTATTTCATTGTTAATGATACCTTTACTTTAATCTTTTCATATTAAATGTATTTTCTAACCCAGATTCAGCAGTATGTATACTTGCTTTTTGGTGAGGGAATACTTTTTGTTAAAAAATATTTTTTAAAAATTAATTTGAATTAGTAAAAATACCTGCCTTTAGTTATGAATATGATTAATTACTGATTTGTAGAAGTATCACTTCTATCTCTGTTTGAAATGAACTTCAGTTTAGCAAAAGCTGTCTTTATTGTTTCCTCTGAATATTTTTTCACTACTGGTTAATATATAAATGAGAGTTTACTAATTTTGTGTGCTACAGTCTAATTTGATCCCTATAAACATCAACCTTCTTTTTCTCTTTAGTTTTTAAAAACTCTTTGGAGTTATTTAATATGCTTAAAAACAAAACTTTTTTCTTTTGAGTTATGTTCGTTTAACAAATGTTTATTATAGTACTGACTGTATATGCTATGCTGCACAACGATAAATAAGGCCAGCCTGGAAGAATTAGCTGGTAAAACATTATCTACTCCCGAGAAAGTGTTTTAAAAGAGATCTGAACAAAGTCCCTTTGAATGCAGGAAAGAGTCCAGTGCAAGACGGAAGACAAAGCAGGCTGACTGGGGGAAGCTTAATCTGGACATTGACCCCAGTTTTCTCTAGTTTTATATTTTTCAACTCTTAATAAAATGAGAATAAACTGTGATTTATTTGAAAAGTAATTGGAACAGTTTTGTCTCCTTAGTAAACTGTGGTTTACTTTTTCACATATTCTTCTCCAAATGGTTTAGCCACATAGTTTCCAGGGAAGTCATTCATTGTAGGCAAATCCCAAGTTAGAAATAAAATGAGTTATTTTCTTCCTCTTTTTCTTCTATGAAAGGGATATTTAACAGAGAAAAGGTTTTTTTTTCTTCAAGTCTTTAAAGCTAAGAAGAGGATCAGAAATGTTAATTGGTTCTCTGCTTTGATGTAAATGTGACTTTTAAAAAACTAGTAATAAAACCCTTGTAAATTTTTCTTTGTGATAATTGCTTACTGTAATTGAATCAAAAAAGTATTTAAGCTGTAAAATGTTTTTAAACAAGACAGTGTTAAGTCACTTTATAGAAAAAGAGTGTTAAGATTACTCCTAGTGTTCCCCCTAGTTTTGTTAATGTACATATATATTAACTGTTTTTTCTGAATGTATATGTTCTGTCTTCTATTGTGCATGACTGAAACCCCTGGTTTTTGCGAATAGGTGCATGACAGAATTGCCATGAGATTTTTCAAACTCTAAGTATTCACACTGCCACCTAGTTGTGTGTAGTGTGTGGTGAAAACCACTGATGTATGTGAAATCATAAAAGGGGAGGAGGAAGAAAAAAAGGGACTTGCGTGTTCATAAATATTGGAACTCTAAAAACATGTTTTATTAATGAATATACCTCTAAAAACAGGTATATTCAAATCTTACTAGGAAGGGGGGGGCCTTTGTAGTTTGAAAAAGATTCCTGGGTATTGCCACTTAACTTATTTTTTAACTACCCTAGTGAGTATTTGATAATACTGGAAGATACTTATGGGGAAAAAAAATTTAACCCAATGATCTAATTTCTATTTAATTTTTTCCCTTCAAGAAAGTCATAATTTAAAGACCTGGCTAAAAGGCTGTACCATAAATTAAATGAATGGCTATTAGTATGCACTGAACATGGTACTGTATTTTTAAAATGACTTTATGAATATTAGAAAATTTGCCAATAGCACTTACAGTGTGCAGTCATGGTTTTCCAGTGATTGTCTTATAAATTTGGAGTCTGTAAGTTAAAAGACTATTCTATGCATATTCTATGTATATAAATCATTCTGTGATTAATGAATGCTTTTTAATTAATAAATTATGTTAGTACTCATCCTGATGGGCATCTCTGAATGCCTTATAATTTCTAGTAAGAAAAGGTTTAGACAAAGCCCTTGTCCTCTGAGCTGTTCCCACACATGGCAATCTTTAATTTCTCAGAGGAAATATACCTTACAACCTTTTTAATGATACTGGATTTTCTGCCTCACTCACCAAATCTAACAATATCTAATCTCTTATCTGTATTGGACATTCAACCATATTTTTCTCTTATTTGACATTTTCTGCCAATAGTACCAAGTATTCCCAAACCAAAAGTAAATATGCTTTATCAACATTTAATCTTAGGGTGACCTGTTTGGGAACACCTATTCAATAATAAGTATATGGCACAATTACTATATTTTAAAAGTGGGCAGTGTGCTAAGGAAAATCTGAAGAGAGCTGATTTCACTTTTAGTCATTGCATTTAATTAAACTGATGTGAGGAGGGATTTTTGAAACTCCTGAAATATGTGAAGGGATAGATTTTATTCCTCATCAGGTCTACAGTACTTTTTGTAAAGAGGAATTTGTTGTATATTATTAAGCCAGCTACTGGAATATTACTCCAGGTTACTAACTTTTAGAAATTTCATATTTTAGCCATTTTTATACTTTGCAAAGATTTTATAATAAAATCTTTTCTTTATTGACAGGTGCATTCCTTGCAAAGGTGCTCAGTTTCCTCCCACCCTTCCACGCCCTGCTGTAGCTATATTACCCTTTAAACTTCCTTACTGTCAGACTGCAACAGAGAAAGGACAAATGGAGGTATGTGGGAATCTTGACACTGAATTTGGTAATACACTGCCTGCAACAAAGACATCAAAAAATTATCCTGATGACCAATGTTGAGTAGTCATTGCCTTATAATTAAATAGCAGTAGCAGGGAGGGAGGAGGACTACTTATGATTGCCAAGGCACCTGATTGCCACGCTGCTCCCAGGGACTTTGTCTATGAGGTAAATGGGTGTGTAGGTCAGGGCCTCACCTTGGGTAAGGCACTTACCCTCAAAGTTGGACAAGTGCCTCAGAGAGCATGCCTCCATAAATTCTGCACCATAGGTAACTGGCTTGTCGTACCCTGGTTGTAGCCCTGTGTCATCGAAGGTCATTTGAAATCCTTCAGTTAGTTATTCTAAACAAGAAACAAATGAGGAGTTTCTAAAAAACTCATTTACCAAGTTCTCTGAGCATTAACTGATAGATAGGAAGTGTTTGAAATCTGAATTTTTCTAAAGATGGGGTCAAGTTGTAGAATTACATTAGAATTTGAATTACAAAATAAGGAGTATTCCAGAAAATATTTTACTCAGAAACTAGTATCTTAAGATAAATATTTAACACTTGACTGGTATTATGCTGATAGTTGACTCTAAGCAATTTTTTCCACTTCCATAGGAACAATTTTGGCGTTCAGTTATGTTTCACAATTACCTGGATTATTTAGCTAAAAATGGTTATGAATATGAAAAAAGCACTAAAAGTCAAGCAATAAAAGAACAGCAGAGTCTTTTAATGAAAATGCTTGCGGTGAGTAAAATAAATATACTGAAAAATTAAGGTTAAGTGCTTTCCTACAGGTTGAATTTCTTAAGTGATGTGAATAGAGTGAATTAGAACTGAGTTCCACAGCCTCAAATTCTTAAGTTGTATCTAGTGGTGTTTTTCTTCCTTAAAACTTGTTCCCCAGTTGATGTTGAAGTTAAAATATTTAAAACATTGTCTTGCTTCTAAGACCATAGGTAAAAATAAACTGTTCTGGTGCTCCCTCCCTTTTGGCCTTTTGCCCACTGGCCTGTGTTTTAATAGACCTTCTGGGAGATTTTGATGCTTACTAAAGTTTGAGACCTGACTCTAGCTCCTGCTCCTATCATGCAGTAAATAAAGTTTGAGTGTGAACTTTAAGACGTCCAAGGTTGGACATGCTTAAGAACTTTGATAAGGCTTTTAGATATGCCTCTCTTTTATCATCCTCTTGTGCAACTGTGTGTGACAAAAGTTTGTCTGTAGAGAAACCAGTGACCAAGTTTGGTGCCTTGAATATTTGGAGATAAGTGAACTTTTTGAAACATAAGGTCCATGTTTGTGTCCTCACTCCAGGTTGGTTTATGGAGAGGAATATAATACTATGAATTACAGGACCCTTAGTAGTCTTTGAAGTATTAATTTTCCTCACATTGTATGTGAGTCACCTTACTTTGAGTTTTTGGAATTCTTACCAAAAGAAAAATAGTGTTTTCTAGACATTCAATGAATGCCCTTTGTTTTATATTGTTAGGTCTAAAAAATAGAGCAAGAAAAGTAAGCTATTAATTTGGAAGTTGTATTTCTCTTTCTGGTAGTTGGAGATCATAAACAATCACACTTAAAAACTGATGGTTAAATCTACTTGCGCCACCCATATTCACTTAGCATTTGTGTGCCAATTCTGGGCAAAGTAAAAACAAATAATTTACAATTTATTCCTTCTTTGAATTTGCTACCCTATTTGGTGAGGGTAGGTGGGGGATGGATGGGAAAACAAGTTTAAGAGAACTGCAATTGAATTTTAAATGAATCTCTTGTAATTAATAGATTGAAGTAATATGCCATATTTCATTGAATCTGAGCTACTACTGATTATAAAATTCTTTTATTTATTTAAGCCACTGAGACAGAAAAAAAGTAACTGCCAGTTAAACTGACCCACCATTAATTGTTAAGGTGCTTCCCAATTTCAGAGATGTTAATATGTATAAAAATGAGCACCTTAGAAACAGTGAGATACAGTATCTAGAAAGCTGTTATCTCATTTTCATTAGTAGTATCATTCTTTTATTTTTAAAAAGTTTCACTTAATGTTATTTCATTTTATTTATTTTTTCCTTTTTGTGTTAGCTTTCTTGTAAACTGCAACGGGAATTTCGTTGTGTGGAACTTGCTGATCTAATGACTCAAAATGTTGTGAATTTTGCAATTAAATATGCTTCTCGTTCTCGGAGATTAATATTGGCCCAAAGACTTGGTGAGCTGGCTGTAAAGAAGGCGGCAGAATTGGCAATAACCCAGGTGGAAGGGGAGGAGGACTTCAGAAACAAGTTGGGTGCTGGGTAAGAAGTATGCCATGTTTAATGTTTCTTAACCATCCTAAATATTAAATTGGTCTTTACATAGCTCTTTATTGAATAATATTACTGTCTTTCAGTTACAGTGATAGTGCTACAGAGGGGAGCCAGCCATGGTGCCAAACTCAGGTTGAGAAAGATGCAGAGGACAGTGGAGAAACTGATGATGTAGAAGAAAAGCCAGAAACACAGAAGCCTGGTAAGATACTTTTTAAAGCATTGTAAAGGTGAGAAATGTCATGTGTGTGGCTTTACCCATTTTACTTGGCTGAGGCTAATTTATACCCAGATTTTTTCAAGACATTTTTGCTAATTGTTGATTATAAAGAATGACTTTATCTTCTCAATTATTCCATAGGACAGAACCCATTTTCCAAAAGTGCAAATTCCTCTGATGTGCCAGCTATTAAGTCAGGTAGGAGATATTTGTGATTTCATAATATCAAGGAAAATTTGCAAGTAATCTTTAAAGTGATGTATCTACTCAAATATACTATATCCTTTAGGGCCTTTTGTTTTTTAAATAAGAGACATTGTTTGTGAAACTGTGGTCATTTTATAAATATTTACTAAATGCCTATTGTATATCAGGTATTTGACTGGATGAGAGATACAGAAGTCAGCCAGACATTCATGGTAGCTCCCTGTGTGAACCTAATATTACCAATTGACTTTAAATTGCATACATATATTAACTTTGGTAAAAAAAAAAAATTACCCTTAAAAATGTATACAGAATATTAAAAGATCATATATAATGGGTGTCTGTAATCTCATCAGCAGTGGGGGGTAGGTTGGGACCCCAGGAAAGGCCTCATGGAGTGTTTAAAGCAGAGATCCGAAGGATGAATGGCAAAGGTGGGTGGGAGCAGAAGCGGAGGAAAAGCATGTGGGCTTAAGGAACAGCATCTATGAAGACATTGAAAGTGGTGTGAAGAGCACAGAGAACAAAGAGAAAGCAGTGTTGAATGGTTTTGGAGTGATGGGCAGAAATCAAATCATGTAGATCTGTGTAGGCCATAGTAATGATTCTGATCTTTATTCTAAGGTCCCTGGGAAGCTTGTAGGGACCTTGTAGACTTAAAACAGGGGCTTAGCACAGCACAGGAGTGCCTATAAGGAGACTACTGAGGCAGTCCACATGAGATTGAATAGTGGCTTGGACTAGGGAGGTGATGATGATTGTGGTAGAAAGAATGGGAAGAATTGAAGAGGTGTTTCTGAAGGTGACCTAGAGTGTGTGGAAGTTCATGGTATAAAAATTGACTCTTGGTTTCTGGTTAGAATATTTGAATGAATGATGATGCCATTTACTGAGTCAAGGAACACTAGGGAAATATAGGTTTAGATAGGAGGATGATGAATTACTGTTGGATACCTGGGCCAGGAGCTCAGGAAAGTAGTCTGAGAAGGAGATAAAAAGTAAAAATCATTGGTGTAAGTATAGCAATTTGTGCCATGGTCATGGGTGAGTGAGCCGTGGGAGAGATGTGAAGTGAGAAGAAAAATGCACTTTGGCCTATGGAATCCCCAGCATTTAAATGTTACATAGAAGAGGAGGAACCATCACAAAAGGATGATACCAGAGAGGAAGGACGTAAGCCAGAGAATGTGGTATCTCAGAAATCAAGGGAGGAGAGAATATCAAGAAGAAAGGAACACTCAGCTTGTGGAATGCTATTGAGAGATCAAATAAGGTGATGACTGAAAAATATCCACCAGATTTGCCACATAACACTGAGTTCTTAACAAGGGCAGATCCTTTAGGGTAGTAGGGGTAGAAGCCGTATAATTTTGGATGTTGGAACACACGAGCAGTAAAGAAATAGGAATAGCTATATAGACAGCTTTTGAGAAATTTGCCATATAGGGCCCAAGAGAAAAAATGGTGGGTGAAGGAGATGTGGAGTAGAGGGCTTGTTTTTTGTTTGTTGAAGTTAGGAAACTTGAGCAGCCAATAAAGAGGGCACAGTCAAAGATGGTATAGCCATTGATAGGACAGGTTTCTTAACAAAGCAGGAGGGGGTGGGATCTAGAGCACAAGTAGAGAAATGATTAACCTTGGCTAACATAAGGCACTGTTCTTCTATGCTAACAGGAGCAAGAATAGATCTATACCTACTGGGTTCGTATGTTTCATAGTGGCAAGTTGGGATAATTCCCATCTAATAGCTTTTATTCTGTCTTGGAAATAGGAAGGAGGTTATATGTAGTTGATAGTTTTCAAGTTGAGTAGTACATTCATTTTCATATAATACAGATTAAAATATTTCATCTAGTGTAGAAGTCAGAAATCTGTGTTTTACCACTATTAAGTGAAGGTTTCTTTCTTATGCAGTTACCTCTAGCAACCAAGGACGAGTAAACCCCTTCAAGGTAAACTCTTTCCTGTGATATTTGCTATTATTTAAATACATTTCCAGAGAAATACTTCTGTATAAACCACCAGATGACCCTCCCCAGACTTGGAGGCATTTAAAAACTAAAGCAGATCTTTGTAAAAACAGAGATGAAAGTAGCATTAGTTCACACTTGGGTTAGAAGATACATTTTCTACTTGACTTCTAAGTACCTATGGTCTTGAAAAATACTGCCTGTTTCTCTTGGGGATGTGGTATTTGGGAATATACGCATCAATCATAATTTGGATTGTACCAGCTGTACTCATTTCCAAAGATGAGACTACCATACCAACTTAACAGAAATTTAAAGGAAAGTAAATCTCTTGGGGTTCTTTTTCTTCTTTAAACATAAAGTGCTAATACTAGTTTGCTCTTTAGGTAACAGCTAATTCCAAAGAGTCAGCTGTTTCAGTGAATTTAGTACGTTCAACTAATATTTTAGACAATATGGACAAATCATACAAGAAGTCTGCTGCACTTAGTCGAGCTACGAACAGTGAAAAGTCTCCAGTTATAAAGCCTCTAGTTCCAAAGCCAAAGTCTAAGCAGGTACTATTTCAACTGCCCACATCTATAATAAGCAGCATGTGATCTGTTTGTCTTACTTTAGTTTGTTTACTGTTTCAGGTATGGGACAGGAGGTCCCAGTTTTTTATAATTGATTATCTACTGAGGATAGAGTTCTCAATCCTGGTTTTGTTTCAGTATCACTTTTAAAATACATGTATACCCAGGCTCCCAGGACTCAGGCATCTCTCTGGGTGGTGGTGGTTTTTTTTTTAATTTCCCAGCTAGTGCTAATACATAACCCTTTTTAATGAGACTGGTGTAGTACCTTGCCCTCATGTTTCCTAGTTCTATATTCTGATTTTTGCCTTCCAGATTTCATCCCAGATTTGTCATCAGTACAGTAGATCTATTGTTTATCTTTTCCATTTCATGTAATTTTACTCATTTATAAAACATGGAATTTGAAATATGTTTTTATTTTTGGTATGTGTGCACATATATTTTCAACTGAGAACCTCAGGACTTCACATATTAATATAAGAATTCTAAAGAATAATAAATATTTTTCCACATTTTTCAAAACTTGAGCTTGTAACGTAAAATCATACTAGATTTTATTGCAGTACTCATCTTGTTTGTTTTAAAGCCATCTGCAGTATCCTATTTCCAGAAAAAAACTTCCCAATCTGATAAGACTGAGGAAATGAAAGAAGAAAATCCTAAAAATTCATCTTCTGAAGCCCCATCTTTGTGTTCTCAAAACACTGAAAACCAAAGGTCAGTACATAGCTTTATTATTCTCAAGATGAAGTATACCAGTAAAAGGCATACAGAAGGAGCAATATGAAATTATGCATCTCTGTCATTCATTATTATAAATAATACATTGACGTTGGTAGTGGACATTGTGAACAATTGGTATTTTAAGAAAGCTACAAGTATTGTCTGTTTACATTACTTATTAAAATATGTTTTGACAAATTGACATTAATGTCTATTTAGATTACTTATTAAAGTATACTTTGACAAATTATATATATGTTTTAAATTGTAGATATATTTTATTGGGACACTATATTTTATAATTCATTTTGTTTGTTTTAAAATAGTATAGTTACATGGGAGAAGCAGTCAAAAGATATAAAAAAGATACGTGAGAGGAAGGCAGGATAACACAGAAGACAAGTAGTGATTCTATAGCATCTTACTACACTGATGGACAGTGACTGTAATGGGGTATGTGGTGGGGACTTGATAATGGGGGGAGTCTAGTAACCATAATTTTGCTCTTGTAATTATACATTAATGATACCAGAAAAAAATATGTGATGAGTAGTAAATTTTGTTCCTATTCACCCAGTTCCCCTCTCCACAAATAGTCATTGCAACAAATTTCTTATATAGCTTTCCAGAATTGTTACATACATGTAGAAACACATTCATCTATTTTTTAGGGATTTTTTAGTTTTATAGAAATGGTGGCATACACACTAGTTCTGTACTTTTTTTTCACTTAACAGGAGCTTTCACAAATCATTTCAAGTAAACTACATGAACAGTTTCTTTAATCTTCTTATGTCCACTGAATGGATATACCAAAATCTATTCAATTCTCTACTTGTAGACAAAAGGTGATTCCTGGTCTTTTGCTAGTACAAAAAATACTGTAATGAATAACTTTATATAAATGTCATTTCTCTCAGATATATACATATATAGTTATAAGATGGATTCCTGTATGGTTGAAGTTAATGTGCACTTGTAATCCCGATAGATATTGCCAAATTGTTCTGCAGTGATGCTGTATCATTTTGTACAACTCCAGCAATATGAGTTCCTGTTTGTACATATCCTATTTCTCCTCCAATGCAATGTGCTACCAAATATATTGTTATCTGTTATGCTAGATGCACTTAAAATAATTAAATTGAAAAAGACAGCATTCCATTTTTAGCATTGAATATCTCATTAAACCAGTATCTCATGTTAACCAGATTAATTTAAAGGGATAGTTATGATTTTTACTTTTCCTATTTTGTTTTGAATTTAATTCAGATATTAAACTGAAAATTTTATTTAAGAAGATCCAACTTTTTGTTCTCTCAACTGGCTATACAGAAAATTTATTGAAATCTTGTTAAGCAATTATCACTGCTTAACTAAATATTTTATCCCAGATGTTGGCACACTAAATCAGAAGAGAAATGTTCTATTTTGGTTTTCTTTTTAAAATTCAGCTGTCTAGAGGCAGGGGGATTACATGCTATTAGCTAGATTTGTGCCATTGCCCCAAAGTTGGTTAAAATGAGTTAATGTTTGAAAATTCAAGAACCTTTGTGAAGTATGACTATTTGTTTTGATTTGTTCTATTATTTTTCTGAAAGTAGAATTACATTAAGATTACCTGAAATTTGTGTATTTTCAAAATTGGGCAAGTAGTTATAGTCATAGTAGTAATGTTTTCTTAATAGCTTGTTTTTCTAAAAATTTAAAAGTTTAGATAAAAATCACTCAGTTACTCATTTATAAATGTAATCCTAACCTTTTTTAGTAATGTTAGGATTTTATACATAACAAGATTTATATTAGAGATGTAATTTTATAGCCTATGTTTTTGTTTCCATTTAAAAATTTATAGTAAACATTTCCCCCTGGTATTTTTGCCACTAAGTTTTGCTTTGTATTTAAGCTTGTTATTTAGGATCCATTCACCAACCACATTGACAGGCAGTATAGCTGGTATGTTAAGTACGAGGACTGTGTGGAAGCCAAACTATCTGGCTGTTATATCCCAGGTCTGGCTTTTACTATCTGTGTAACCTGGAGTAAGTTATTTCGTCTGGTGGGCCTCGATTTCCTCATCAGTGGAATAGTAATTGTACCTACTTCACAGGTTATTGTAGATTAAATGAGGTAATACATTAAAACATTTAGAACAATATCCAGCAGAAAGTCATTACTCAGTAAATATTAAACATTTGCATTAAGTGTAAACCTTCATTTGTGACCTAAAGACAGTTTGTGTCAGAAGTGAAATCTAATAAAATTGACAAATGTGCTGTGCTGTATCTGTTTTACATGATGACATCAGAAAGAACCTGTGCTCCCAGGTCAGCTTTGAGAGCTACAGTGAGGGGAGTAGGTAAGGAGCTTGAGAGAAGTGAAGGTAACAAATAGCTGGTTTGGGAAATGAAATAATGTGCCAAGGATATATGGGAGAATATTTCAGGGTCAGAAAGACAAGTGAAATTGGAGACCTTGAACCTGTTAACATTCATAAGAGTTAAAAGTGCAGAGTTCATGGTTGCTGCACTTGGAAAATACAAATGTGAGTAAACCCTTGGAACTGACCTAACATGGGATTTTTCAGTTCATTATCCCCTCAACGTCGGACAGTTTTAAGTAATATGTAATGTAAATATTAACAAGTGTACTTAATTATATTTCTCTTACTTTATATAGGTATGCAGAGACTAATGGCTAATTACTGACCTGAAAATTTATAAAGCACTTTAATTTGTCCTAGGTATAAGATTTTTTCATTTAATTGCTCTTTTAGGCCAAAGACTGGATTCCAGATGTGGCTAGAAGAAAACAGAAGTGATATTTTGTCTGACAATCCTGACTTTTCAGATGAAGCAGACATAATAAAAGAAGGAATGATTCGATTTAGAGTATTGTCAGCTGAAGAAAGGGAGGTAAGGATAGTTGTGCTCAGATTGAGATCTTAGTAAGTTCCCAGATTTTAAGAATTGTAGAAAATCCTTTTTCTGTTTTTAGAAATTGAATACATTCTGGTGAACTCTTAATGGAGAGGAAATTACAAATGTTAACTTTGAACATATGGATATGTAATAATTATTATTTAGTGCTGATGGTTAAGTTTGGTAGATATATTTTTTACATCTGTATAAGTTTCTGCATATTGTAAATCAAGAGAATACCCCAAGAAAAAGCACATTATTTATAAGTCAAAAGCAAATAAAATTAATAAATAAAAATGAAATCAATTCATATTTTTGCACTACTGCTACCACTTTAGGGTCCTTGTGAGCAGAATTTTTTACATTGCTGTTCACTTACACAATGAATGGTAAATGAGAGTACTGCTTTTGAGGAAAAACTGGTGTTATGTTCCAGCCTTTCACATGGAAATTAGGACAGGTGCCTTTTACCTATTGCTTCTTACATAAATTTCTGCCACATGAAGGGAGGTCTGCCACGTGAAGGGAGGCTAGGAGCGCCTTTCTTTTGCAATGCAGGAATATATCAATGAAATCCTTGGACCTCACTTCCCCAGGGATGGCATTGTAACATCATAGGCACCTACTGATGTAGATATTTGCCTCAGTAAACTGGGTTTTATAGATAAAGGTACTGTAAAATGAGGGAGCTAGAAACTGTTCTGACCACCTTTAGCCTCATTAAGGATCATCAGCAACTTTGTGTTTCTCATTTTTTATTAATATTTATAAAAAGATAAAATTCTAAAGAATTAGATAAAAGGCATCTGAATGAATAGGACTTCGTGCAGCAATCAAGAGAAAGAGACTTGATAGAAGTTGTGATTATGTTTTTGAAACAAAAATCAGTATTTTTAGAGTACCTTAAATATTTATTTAAATCTAGTTTGTTAAGGTGAGAAATTCTACAGCCCAAAGGGTCCCTTTTCTACAATAAATAAAAGGAAAGGGAAATAAAGGAGGAGGAACAACTTATAAATAAAAGATGTAAGAGACAGATGAAATGAGTGAATTGGTGAGATTTTTGTTTAGTGAATAGAAGCCGATCCCAAAAGAATATATACTGTACATAACTTCCCTGAAATGACAACGTGATAGTGATGAAGAACAGAGTACTACTTGCCAGGGGTGGGTGGGTTGTGGGGGCAACATGAGGGATCCTTGTAGTGATGGAACTGTTCTGTATCTTGAGTGTAGTGGAATATACGTGAATGTACAATAGAATTAAATACAAATGAGTAGAAATAAAAAGGGAAATATCAATGTCAATATCCTGATTGTGATATTGCACTACAGTTTCGCAAGATGCTACTATTGGGGGAAACTGGGTAAAGGGTACACAGGATCTTTCTTGTTTTTCCTATAACTGCATATGAATCTATAATAAATCAGAAATTAAATATTTCATTCAAACAATACTTGCACTGGTATGGTTAAATGTAAGCAGAGTTTAGATTGACATATCATAGAGGTAGAATGTAAATTTTTTAATATGCCCTGCAATTAAATAATTAGAGATTTGTTAACAACGAGAACCCTTAATGATTAGCTTAATAATTCAAGTGCTAATTAATGCTGCTTTATATACAGGAATATTGTCTGGTAAAGTACAGAAATCATTTCCTTCTGTTTCTTTGTTACTGCCTAAAAATCTTTTCTCTTTCAATATTTTTACAAAGGCATGGACTACCAAGGCCAAAGGAGGAACTTCAGTTAATGGAACTGAAGCAAAGAAGCGAAAACATGTTGTCGAAGAAAGTCATGAAGCTGAAAACCAGAAAGAAAAAGCAAAGGAGAATCTGAATTTGCCTAAAAAGCAAAAACCTTTAGATCTTTCTACCAACCAGAAACTGTCAGCTTTTGCATTTAAGCTGGAATAGAGTAAGGAAGTGACCCTAGGAAAGTATTGGCTTTTTACTCAATCTTTGATGAGTCTGGACTTTTGTTTTCTTTTTTTGTTTTTAATCTTTAGGAAACTCCTTATATATTTTTAAAAGAGCTTAAAGACAACTGTTTTATAAGATAATAGAGTAATGATACTGGTATAGGTAACTGAGCATGTGTAAAAACTATCATCTCTGCAGATTGCTCTGCCCCCAAATGGAAGCCATTCAGAAGCATTCTGATTGAGGTCACTGACTTCAGGTCAATGGCATGTACCAATGGAAAGTAATTTTATTTTGCATATTACCTTCAAAATTACCAAAATAAAACTTCTGAGCATTGAAGTACCTCCTAGGGGCTTCCTCGTTTGTTATGTTGTGGATTGGGAAGTGCTGCAACAGTCTTCTTTCCAAGTGTGTCACTTTGGGCTGCTCTTTCTGTGTCTGGACTGGACCGAGGAGGCTGTGTTTCTAATATGGGCCCTAAACATGTTAAATTATTTTGTAGATGAGACTGTTTTGGGAATTTTTTCCTAGTTGACTTTCAGTTGTCTGTCTGTACAGCCTGGTTTTTTAACAAATAAAACTTTCACATTTACATATTTAGCTTGATGTGGTCTTAACATGAAATGAAAATGTTTCTAGAAAATATATCTTGTATTTACTACCATAGTTTCCATCACCACCCCCATTCTGCTACACATTGAACACACAGAAGAGAAAAAGGTATTGTTTTAATAGTGTTGCTCCTGGTAAGATACCCTTGTATCAGTATCAGCAGTACTTCTCTGAGCAAGTCTTTGAAGCCTTGATAAGAGAATAGTTAAAGAGTTGAGAAGGTATTTTAGGTCCTTTTATTTTGAACAAACAAGATTTAATTATTTCATATATTTTTTTTGGTTATTGTTCTAATGAGAGCTTAATACAAATAAGGCCACTTAATGAGGGCATAGTACAGGGGTGGGAGTAGGGGAATAGTAGTAAATTAAAATCAGGTTTCTCAAAACAGGATAGTTTTATAGATTCGAAGGAACAAAATATGTTGAGAATTTAGACATAGGACCATTCATCTATAAAATGGATATAATAACAGTACCTACTTAGAGGGTTGTTGTGAGATTTAAATGAGGTAAAAGCACTTAGATCCTGGTACATGGTAATATTTTATATAAATGTCAGCTATTAAGCCATTGGCTATTCTGCATTGTTGTTAGGTTTGATTCTGAATACTGTATGATTAATTTTGATTTCAAGATCCTGAAGTAAAAGTTTATTTGTAATCTTTGGAAAGCATGTTTGTAGACATGTATTTTATTTTTATTTCCTCAACTTGCTTATTATACATAGTATATAGTGTTTAAAGATATAATCCTTGAGTGCTATATTTCAGGTCCATAGAAACCTGGTAATAGCGAGGATTTGCAAAAGGTTTTTTGATCCCTTTCTTTTATTTGGCTGAAGAAAGATTTTTGTATTGACTTGGTTTAACTTATAAATCAGAACTTTGAAACCAAGAAACATTATCCTTATTCCTTTGCTTTATGATTAAATCTTTAAAAAAAATTTTCTCCCCCAGAGAATTGAGACTTACTGGTAGGAAAATGGAAGTGGAAATAATATATTCACCACTGCCATGATATCAATAATATTGCCCATTCTGAGCATATTATGTGTTATAGAAAGTTGTCATATGCTTGATTGCATTTTCAAATAGCAAAAATTTCTCGAAGAGGAGTTTTAATACTTTACCCTCATCAAAAGTATCATCTCATTATCCCAGAGAACAGGCGGGTACGCCCCAGGCCATGCCTGCCAACTCTGGGGGCTGGTGATCAGCAGCCTTGCCTGTCGGTGCAACCGCCTGTGGTGAGCCACTGTCACTGACTTGGGACAGAGCCTCTCAGACAAAAGTGTGAGACCCATGCAGCTAGAAAGTATCTTAATCAATGACTGGTTGTCTTATGGGTCTTTGCTTTCCAACTGTTTTGTTATAGAAGTAAATCATTTTCCCCCAGGTTTTTATCTTGAAAATTTCCAAACCTACAGATAATTTCAAAGAGTACAGTGAACACACATATACCCTTTATTAAGATTAATTTACTGTTGATATTTTGCCATATGTGCTCTATAAACAGGGTTTTTCCTGAAACCTTTGAACTGTGCATCGGACACTTCACCCCTCAATACTTCTCTAATAGAGAATTATCTCTAATACTTCTCTTAGAGATAAATATATCTCTAAGAACATTTTTCTACATAACTGCAATGTTATTACACCAAGAAATTTAACAGAAGAATATTATTGCCTAACATAACATTTCATATTAAAATTTCCCCTGAAGTGCTCTTTACCCTTTCCCCCTTAGTCTAGGATGAATCAAGAATCTGCATTGCACTTAATTGTTAGAAGTACATACTTTTTAAAAAAGTATAGTTAACAATATTAGTTTCAGGTGTACAACATATTGATTTGGTATTTATATACGTTACAATGGAAATACATACTTTTTAATGCAGGAAAAAATGAAGAAGACATACTAATGGTATGTCTAATACCCAGACATAGCCACTGTTAATATTTTGGCATATGTCATGCTTTTTCTGTGTATGTATCTTTTTATTTTAAATATAGGTGTTCAGTTCAAATTTGTGTTCCATAGAGGTGTAAACAAAACAAAAATTTTAAGTGTGGCCTTTTGCTGGTAGTGCTCTGTGGTTGATACCAATTTCTGTCTACTCTGCAACTGTATCATAAAGGATAAAAACTGATGGAATTGAAAATAAATAGAAAGGCAGAAGTTGGCTCTTTGAAAGACTAATAAATCAGAAAAACAGCAAGATTAATCATGATAAAAGCACATATGACATTAGGTATGAAACAATTTATTAACTATATATGGTACAGAAACAAAAAAGATAAAGAGGCTTATGATGGTCAGTTTTATGTGTTAATGCTGATTAAAGGGCAACAATTAAAAAGTGTTTTTGCATGTAAGTATTTATCTTTTTTTTTCTGTCACTCAAATGGAGTTAACTTTGGTTGTTACTGAACCATAACATCCAGAGCTCAAACTCTATTTTTATGAGAATGATAATCATATAAGGGTAAATTTAAACTACTATAAAAGTTGTTTAGAAAGGAATAACATTGTTTTAATTGTATATTTCATTTACTAGACCTGCTTTCCTCCAGGTGTATTTCTCTATTGGAATTTGTGTCTGATAATTCCATATACTTGTCAATCTCACCAAAGGACCCAGGTTTTGGAGGGCAGGAACCGTGTTGGTGGGAATTGGCATAGTTGATACAGTTCAAGCTTTGGAACTTGATAGGCTAGGATTTATATCCTGCCTCTACCACTGACGCTGTTTGGCTCAGAGAACCACTTAACCCTTACTGACTTTCTGGTCCTTGGAGTAAAGATTACTATAATCTTCTCAGTCCTCCTTCTCAGGGAACCTACACAGGCCACATCCCCAGAAGGATGACCACATATCACTTGCCATCACTTCCCCAGGCCACAGCTACACCAGAAATACACAACTGACCTCAGTATATTCAGGTGTCCAATCTCTCCCAGAAATTTGAAATTTGGACAATGAAGCAGAATCAGTTAATCTGAGGAACCGAGATCTTCATAGGCACGTAGAAGCAAGTGCCATTGCCACAGGAGGGGAAAGCTCAAGTTGTGGGGAAGCAGAGGAATGAATGAGCAGAGAAAACCCATCTAGTGAAAGTAGAAAGATGGAGGAAAAACTAAAAACAAATAGAAAAATTGTCATGTTAGCATTACCTCAGCTGCTTTTGTGGCTCTGATAACAAATCCTAGAGAAAGAAGTAAGAAGAGCTGGCACTTTAATTCTTAAAGGATAGTGTGGAGTAGATTAATGGCAAATAAAATATTTTGCCAGGGTTGGAACCCAGGCCTTATAAACTGTTCTTTTCTGAAGACAGCTGGATTGGATTGATATAGATGGTGTTTCAGAACAGGGAGGAGAATTAATGTGGTTCAGTGAGATAGAGACACTTCATGTCATTATTTCTCCCTCAAATGTTATAGGAGCTGATTAAAAATAATAGCTGGGTATATCTAGAATATGTAAAGAACTCAACATTAAAAACAAAACAATTAGAAAATGAGCAAAAGACATCTCACTAAGAATATGCGGATAGCAAATACACATATGAGAAGGTGTTCAATGTCATTAGCCATTAGCAAAATGCAAATTAAACTGCCATGGGATTACACTACACACCTACCAGAACAGCTAAATTCAAAATAGTGATAACACCAAATGCAATTGAGGATACAGAGAAACTCGATCATTCGTATGTTGCTGAAGGGAAAGTAAAATGGTACCATCTCTCTAGAAAACAGTTTGGCAGTTTCTTTCAAAACTAAAATGGACTTACTATATGACCAGCAATTGCTCAATTGCCCTGTTAGGCACTTACCCAGGAAAATGAAAACTGGTTTCTGCACAGGAACTTGTACACAACTGTTCATAGCAGCTTTATTCTTAGTAGCCTCAAACTGGTGTCCCTCAATAGCTGAATGGTTAAACAAATTATGGTACAGTCATACCATGGTACACCACACAGCAATAAATTTCTGGTCCTTGGAGTAAAGATTACTATAATCTTCTCAGTCCTCCTTCTCAGGGAACCTACACAGGCCACATCCCCAGAAGGATGACCACATATCACTTGCCATCACTTCCCCAGGCCACAGCTACACCAGAAATACACAACTGACCTCAGTATATTCAGGTGTCCAATCTCTCCCAGAAATTTGAAATTTGGACAATGAAGCAGAATCAGTTAATCTGAGGAACCGAGATCTTCATAGGCACGTAGAAGCAAGTGCCATTGCCACAGGAGGGGAAAGCTCAAGTTGTGGGGAAGCAGAGGAATGAATGAGCAGAGAAAACCCATCTAGTGAAAGTAGAAAGATGGAGGAAAAACTAAAAACAAATAGAAAAATTGTCATGTTAGCATTACCTCAGCTGCTTTTGTGGCTCTGATAACAAATCCTAGAGAAAGAAGTAAGAAGAGCTGGCACTTTAATTCTTAAAGGATAGTGTGGAGTAGATTAATGGCAAATAAAATATTTTGCCAGGGTTGGAACCCAGGCCTTATAAACTGTTCTTTTCTGAAGACAGCTGGATTGGATTGATATAGATGGTGTTTCAGAACAGGGAGGAGAATTAATGTGGTTCAGTGAGATAGAGACACTTCATGTCATTATTTCTCCCTCAAATGTTATAGGAGCTGATTAAAAATAATAGCTGGGTATATCTAGAATATGTAAAGAACTCAACATTAAAAACAAAACAATTAGAAAATGAGCAAAAGACATCTCACTAAGAATATGCGGATAGCAAATACACATATGAGAAGGTGTTCAATGTCATTAGCCATTAGCAAAATGCAAATTAAACTGCCATGGGATTACACTACACACCTACCAGAACAGCTAAATTCAAAATAGTGATAACACCAAATGCAATTGAGGATACAGAGAAACTCGATCATTCGTATGTTGCTGAAGGGAAAGTAAAATGGTACCATCTCTCTAGAAAACAGTTTGGCAGTTTCTTTCAAA